ACTATGCTGGAGATACCTAAAGTCAAAGTGAACAAATTATTTAGTATTTGTAAAGAGAAGAATATCAAAAGATGAAATATATATTTGTGTGTAGTGTGGAATGTGTTTTATAAAATTGATCCTTTTTGACAATTCAAAACCATTAGTGGTAAAATTTAAAAAATGACAACTATTTTTCAAGGATGATTACTAAGTTGATGCTCGGTTGTTGGTCATTTTGGGTTGAACACGAAAGGACACAAATGTTACTGTAGGACATCAAAACCAAGTTGAGTTTTCAAGTGTTAACTGCAAAAAATTGTAAATGGTAACATGATCAAACCGATACCATGTGCTCGTTCAAGCAGGAAAAAAGGACCACGCGGTGCAATCCTCTGATAGCTATTCTTTCATGATCATAATATTAATTCACTAAGTGCTCGAAAGACGTATGTATTATGAAATATCACTTATGAAGTTTCTGGACGAAAATTCAATATTTTTCTTATTTTTCAATTTTCAAAATATTTTTCTTACGATAAAGATTTGGAAAACTTTTATTCAATTATTATCTACCAAATCATTCGAAATATATCTCAGAAAAACTTGAGATAATGCAAAAGTCAATTATAAAGAATATAAAAATTTAATATATTGATTTGATATGTTCATTTTGCAAATATGTAAAAACTATTCCTTATGATGAACTTGAATAACATTCTGTATGAGTTACATGCAAGAATTGCCAGCAAGCAACAACAATAAACAACTGTCACTGTTTTGATCCTGAAGAATAAGATATCATTGGTAAAAATATTACATGTTTTAAATCGTTTTATATTCTATTGACGAAGAAGATATTGCCGTGCAATGTGTAGACTTTTGATTACATTGTCTTGTCGAAAATGAACTCTTTCATTTTGATTTAGTGAAGATGATAAAATTGAACGTTTTGTCGAGGGGAAAACATTAATAAAATGCTTTAAACTACTGTTGAATGCAGAACCAATAAATTCAACTAATACCAAGCAGAGCAGTTTCAAGTTAATGTGAATTTTACACTCATGGTGATGTATGAAATGAATAGTTGAAGCTATGAAATCTGAATTCATAACAAAAATAATTAAATAATATATTATAGAACTAAATAGAGATTTATATAATAATTAACTGTAGCTAGAGCATTTTCGACATTGAACGTCAAGTAATTGATCAGAGAACTGTGTTCTGAAACACTCGCATCCACATGATACAAACTATGCATAGATTGAGAATTATTGCGTGGTTTATGCATAATTGGAAACAATTGTAGAAAACGATTAAGTAATAGATGAATATCTTCTGCTAGTTTTACGACGAACACGGCAAGCTTTAGCAGAGTATGTTTTTTTACAACAAACAAAAGCAAATTCTTCGCATCCCTAATCGGTAAAACAACATGAAAAAATAGAAAAGCCAAATAATTAGTAGAATCCTTCAAATTTCGTTGTTTTTATATTGTTGAATTTTGATTGAGAATGAGATATGTGCATCGTTGTTAGTGCGTACTTTATTGTTAAAAAAAATTGATCAATAGTGTTTATCTTGAAACGAATACTCCAGATTTACTTTTTGTAATGGTTATCAAAATCAATGTTAAAGCAAACGTTTCAAGACAATAAAAGAATTTCATATTAAGAATAATAATTTTACTCTATGAATGATAAATACTCATGCGATTCGTATTGCCCAAAAACCTTCGATATATCGATCAGTATAATGAACAATATACCGCTGATTTCTTTTTTGAAAGTTGTATATCATGATGCATTGTATAAAAATGAGTGAATATTTTTGAGGTTTGTTAAAATTATTATAAGGGAGTCAATTTCGATGCCCAGTCATAGATGACGTTGTAAAAATTGTTATTGTTTAAATATATTCTGAAACTGTTTATTGTCAAGACGAATTTGAATTCTCCCTAATAATGAAGTCTAAGTGCCTATGGATAAGTGTGAATGTAGATGTAGGGTGTGGGTGAAGACAAGTTTCATACCCATAACCCATACCAGCATCTATTCTTCATTGAAAACTCGTACACGCATTCACATCACTCATCCACACTCCACCGACACCTTGTTCGAAATCGAAATTCACTTAGCCAACCCCCTTCAGAATACGAATTTTAATAAAGATGTAGATTGTAGTCATGCATGTCGAGCCCGTATAAAGTAATTTTGTGATAACAAATAAGCTTTTTGCCACACTGATTCCAAGCAATGGCTTTCATGTTTACAGAAGTTATAAAGTAAATACTGTTGCAATACAAATGAATGTGAAAACTTGTGATTATGCGTCAAATTAAGTCAACGATCGATGAAAAAACTGAAATCAAAAACATAGTGGAACAATCAATGTTATGGCTCAAAAATAAGAGAGAAAAAAAAGCGACAACTTTCATTGCAACACTCAACGACGAAGCAAGCGCGTATTATTGCTAGAAATCGAATTATATTTACATGATCGTCGAACGAACGAAAGAAAATTTATACTACAATCGTCATCGTTCTATTAGCTCTCTCATTACACATTGCAGTGAAACCTAAGAAGCACGGCAAACATTCGCTCACACAAGCCGTCCATACATAATGACTGCCACATACTGCGCAGTAATCTCATTATTTGCCTTTTGTATAAGAGCAGTACGAAATAAGGAATCATGCTGAAGCTAGTGTTACCGCTTTTTCACTAGGTTACTAGACTAATATTATTTGGGTATGTAGCCATGCATCAAAACCAATACTGATTTTTAAATATCGGTATTGATGTGATCTTAATATTCAGATATTGATTTTGATGTGGTTTTGGTTGTGATATTTCTGTCGAAGTATCATTAAGAACATTGATTTTCAAAAAATAAAGTCATGAGTATTTTTCTTGTTTATTTTATTGTATTTATTTTTCGCAGATGAGATCCTGATATAATAAACTTTCTAGAGTACTATTATTAGTAAATTATGCAAAGTTCAGAAAAATAGCGATTAATCATTGTGCATTTATAGTTTGTAGAAAATATCGAATTTTGTTTGATATATAATATCAAATTTGAAATTTCATTTCGAGAAAAAGAATAAAATAACATTTATAGTAAACATTCGTAATTCTATTCTTTCAAAATCAATTTCATTTACAGGAAAAGTATAAGAAAACTTTTGTAAATAAGACGATCAGAAGTTGACAGTTCTAATAGCGCTCAGTAGTAGTAGTTAGGGTTGTTGGCACATCGTAGGATGCCGGTGTCATTTATCTTTATACAAGAAAAAGAGTATTACTAGGTTTTTTGAGGGAATCTATTCTTGATACTACAATATCGATAAAAATGTTGTAGCATATATATTGATCTATTATGTGTGGCACAATTGTGAACGAATGTTGAAGTATTTAGTGAGAAAAAACGAGTCTCTTAGTCAGTTCTTGAAATGATAATGGAAACAAATTGCAACTATTTTTACTTGGTGGTTATAGACTCACAAATTGATTTCAAAGAAAAGAAAATTAATGGACTAATGGTAATTTAGAGATTTTTACTTGTAAATTTCAAGCATGAGTGTACGTGGTGATGTCAGAGTTTTCTTTTTTATCTCCACACTCATACCAATAATCCACACCCATTTGACGCGTATTCTTTGATACCTCTCTGCATTTACTTGTTTACTACCGATTTACGACTATCGTGAACATCCTCCATACCTTTCATTCGGATTCATTAGATGCAATTAATCTAAATTGATTTCAGTATAGTTTTCAAGTAATACATCCAATCCTCATAATCCGGCAATGACGGAAAGCATATTAGTAAAATTATTAGATTGAAGCCTAGCTCTTCATGGAGAGATACCAACTTCCATGGTTTAATTAGTGAGAGTTTAATAAAGTTCCTGAAGTGACTGCAATTTCTAATCTATAGATTTCTTTCATATGTTGCTCTTTTTAATTTCCAATTATAGATGAGATAGGCCAAACATTTGGAGAGCATTAAGTCTATTGTGCAATGCTTGATATACTTATGCCCTCATTTCTTATTCAGCATTAGAGGCAACACAGTTCTATCCTCTCAAATGAAGGACGTATACAGATCGAATAAAATGATGTAAATAGAAATATTAACTCCAGTTCATTTGCACATACATAGATATGTATACAATACAGTACAATAAATAACAAGAAAGCATTTTGCTATAAACTCTCATTTGGGCTATTGTACATAGGAAGAAATTGACAATACAGTCAGACATTTTTTTATAGAAAAAAAAATCGTATACTTCAAGATCATAAATAAGTTCGTGCAATTAAATAAAACGATGTCGTTTATCAATATTTTAATGACGCTGGCAGTCTTGATTTTTTTACTTACTGAAACAGGTGAGTCCATTTATTTCTTCATTCTAATATGAAGTTGTCAAAATCGCTTCTAAGTGACAGCAAAATGGCTGATTTCAGCATGAAATAACAGAAAGTCACAAAACTTGGACACAGTATTTGAACGCGAAAATAGACCGAATGTATTTCGATGACTTTCAGCCAACTTCTTTTGTTTCTTTTGGCGAAAAATAGTCCAAAGTCAACTGAAAATTTCCAAGAGTTTTCGACTCGGAATAATGTGTCCAAATTTTAAATAGCTTTTGAGATCTCCTGTTGGATACAATAGTTATCTGGCATCTTTCCCATTGTTTCCTGAGTTTCGAGTCATCAAGTTACGTTGCTGTCTGTTTTAATCCTTATTCTATGTACGATGCACTTTTATGTACATTCTTCATATATTTACAGTTAAATGTGATGGCTTTTTTTACATGCAACGAGTGCCATCGTCGTGCATGGAAATTACTTTGAACTTGGCAAATAATGGGAGTATCTCTGACAATTGTTTGACCTATGATTGGAACCAGATTACAAACTTGACTACGAATTATACGACCTACATTGACCCTAATACAAATCAAACATACAATGTTCTCATTGGTGCTTTAACTGTTCTAGGTACAATGGACAATTATAGTTTAAACTACGAATGTCCACCAATTGGATACAATGGTGTAGGACCTGGGTGCCGAACTGAGTCAAATACACAATTGGTAGTATTACAAGTCAATACTTTTGATGGGAAATTATATATCATTGATGTGATTCTATCTGGTGTTCCTTTTCCCTCTTCACAAGACTTGAAAGAAAATCAGCCACCGTTTGGTAAAGCTCGCATAACGTTCAACACAGGTGTTACACTTCAATCTACTGGTTTTTTTCAAATCTGTAAAAATAAGAAAAGTGAGCAATGCCCAAATCAGAACATCAGTGCTCACAAACTTCCCCATCCATTACCAAGTAATTATGGATATGGCATTTTTGGTATTCAAGCATTCAATTTAATTACAAATTCGACATGGATCATGGATGATCCTAATCAATTACTTATTGTTACTGCAGGTACCAATTACTATTATTTCAATGCAACAGGATTCTTCTTGTATGATTCCGGTTCAAAAACATGTACTTGGTCATCAGCTTGTAATTATGTTTGCGAAGTGTATAATTACGATTCTCGATTCTTAGACTATGCGGGTGAATGGATGATTACGAATAAATGGGGAAATGAAGGGATGAAACCAATAAATGCTGAAATTTGGATTGGAAATGCAATTGATGCTGCCGGTATCTTTCCCATTGTCATGTATACCGATAAAACAACTGGTCATTACCTAGGGTTAGACAAACTTGATCCAATTCCATCACCTAAAATGGGTGCTACTTATTGGTATACCGAACATGGTGATACGGTACCAAGGGTTAACATTAAAGCTTTTAGGCCAAGTGTTGTGGCTGCTGGTTGTGTTGCAAGACTAAACGATTGGACTGGTCCTTGGAAGAACTTTGGAAATCGTATGAAACCTGGTGATGTTCGAATCATGTTTGTTCTTGTTTTTTTGAATATCTTCCAAGCATGGATACACATGCGTCGTGAAGATTTCAAATCAATTGGATGAAAATGTGAACTTCACAATGAACTTAACTTTTCATTATCAGAAATATGAACCTAGTTTTTTTTTCACATACTCTTTTTCTAACTGATCTTGTAAAGGTTTTCATCAAAAATAAATATTGTCATCATTATTCAACTAGTACGACAGTCACAAGACAAGATCCGAGACTGAGTTGAGTTCAGTTATCAACGTTTTGAAAAGAAATTTGATCACAGTCAAATGATTTCATATGACATAGCCTTTTATTATAATCATATCTTATTCAAAGTCGAAATGTTGAGAAGTTAATCGGTTTTAAGTGAAAACGAAATCAGGTGAGGATATGGTATGATTGCTCTCTTCACACATCCACACTATATTCAAGAGAAAAACTACCAGGACCCATTTATGTTGTTCTTTTGACCAGCGTCTGGATGATTTTCCATAAAGATGATTTCGAAAAAGATGATTGATAAAACATAGAAGAGTAGGATGGCGATGGGCACGTTCTACATGAATAAACCACAAATGTTAATAAAACCTGAATCATTAGTTTCCAGTTTTCGACCGAGTGGTGAATACTTCAGTTGAAACCAGTATACAATTTCACTGATAACACTTTTGGCTAAACGAGTGTGGGTGGGGATGAAGACAAGACTCACTGACACCCAGACCCAGACCAACACCCACACTGTGATGACGATTTTTAGATAGAAGAAGTGTTAGTGCTGCTAGAATTGTGCTTTATTACATTTCTTCTTATCAAGAATCGCATCGTTTTCATACAAAGGATTCGCTTATATACTCAACCATCAGAGAGATAGAGTATGAAAGGAAACGATAATAAGGACAGAAAGTAAGAGCAATAAGATACCGACAAAGTACAACATGATGTACGAAGTAAGGACAGATAGATAAGAGTAATACATAAGAAAATGTAATGAAAAGTCAAACATCATGCATACAATGCACTTAACTGGAAGCGTTGCACACCCATACCTCATCCACAACTGATACCGAGTTCAAAAAAATTTTATTGACAGGATCCGATTCACAAAATTCATGAACTTAATGGGTTCTAATGCGATTGTGGGTGTGAGTTAACAAAGAATGATCTCTTATCCACACGCACACACTTCACCCTACATAAATATTTACTACAATGAATCGCAGTTAAATGAACAATTGAATCTAGCGAAGAAAGAAAATTCCTTGAAACACATTTCGTGATTTCAATTTTTCGCCCAACGAACACCATATCTTTTCAGTGTGAGAATATTATCATACTGATGTTATGGACGATGAGCATAACACAGCTGATTGCTCTCGAGAATTACCATAGATCGATTATATCACAGGTAGCATCATTTACAAGAAGACTAATATAAATAGTTGTCTATCACTTACAACAAGACCAAGTAGAAAACAATTTCTGATTGATATCATGGCATTTTATGCCATCTAGCAAAATATTTCACATGAAAATAGAAGAATGATATGATACCACCAACATTGAATCACTATTTAGCATTCTTTTCATCCGATACATGCAAAGGTCATCGTTCTAGCACTATTGCGGACGCTAAAGAAAACATCAATTGAAAACATTTTTGATCAAAAACTAATTTTAATCGAGCGATACTTTTTTTTATAAAATATTCACTTTCAGTCTCATCAGTTCTCGTCAAAAGTTAGTTGTGGGCAATACAATACGTTTAGAATTTTTCTACTATCTATTTTGATAATCGTCGCCAAGTCTCACGCATTTCTTAAGAGATCAACATACTTTTTAGACGATCCTATTGGTGACTCATATTGAAATGATTTTTTTTTTCAATACAAGACAAGGGTAAATGGTTTACAGAAAGAAGCCGAATGTACTGTGTAAGTTCATATAGTCTTATTGTTGAATCAGAGAAAGCACATCCCATATCCTCGATAGGTTTTAGCTATTTCAACAATGCATCCATCGGCTACTATGAGAAAGAACATAAAACGTTCCGCTAACTCGCCAGCCTTGGCATGTCGAAAATAAACGATTTGATTTTGTTCGAAGAATTTCATTGTTTCATTTCTTCGAGTTGGGTCTATTCTCAACGGTGTTTGTACTTCACCTGGTCCTTCACTATCATTCAATGTCAGTCCCAAGGGAAAGACTGGTAATGGCACTTTATCCCATCCTGGCCGACCAGAAGCGACATATCCACCACCGCCACATGTTACCCATTCCCCTTTATCGGATACGCGCACGATCGGTAGAGCAAAGTAACAGGATGGCGCAAATGTCGAACCAAACTGATTGATCATTGCTTGGTTTTGTTGATAATAATCAAACAGATGAGGTTGAAAAAATCCAGAACCAACCGTAATTTCTGTCAGAGCCGAAGTTTCTTCCAAAGCCGCCAGTAAACTGCCGGTTCCACCTCCATTTAATATGGTCAAGCCATATTTTGAACAGAGTTGCCTCATTTCTTGTCGAAGTTGTTGAATGTGGGATATCGAAGAATGTTTCACGTAACGAATCAATGGATTCAACCAGAAGTTATTGGGATTCATATCACCTATGCCAGCAATATGACTTTCATAGACCATGATACCTTCTAAGCGAATAAAAGGTAATTGTTGAGTGAATTCAATTATTTCAATGAGTTGAGCGAGAGTTCGTATTGGACTACGACGCGCACCTATATGGATGCGTCCGCCTAAGGCTCGAAACGAGGCATCGAATTCTAAGATAATCGGGAATGGTCGGCTAATTCCCTCCATGAATTGATTCAATTCTTTTATGGATGTTGGATGATCGACCACAATGCTTACTGTTTTCTTTTCGCGTTCGTGTAAATCTCTCAGAGTTTCATAATCTGATAGCTGTTGTGAAGGATAGGCAATCAATAAATCATCGAAGCCTAAGCTTGATAAAAACTGGGCTTCTTCCACAGCAAAACACATTAGCCCTTTGAATGGCAGACCAGATGATAGAATACGTTGCAATAAGAAAGGGACACGCAATGATTTTGAGGCAATGCGAATAGTAGTTTGTGAATGCGAAGACATTTGATGACGAAGAAGAGCAACGTTTCTATCGAAGGCTTTCAAATCCACTAACACAGCCGGTAAATGATGAGATTTTTGAATATCATCCTTTGATAAGAGCAGTCGGTTGAATTCTTCAAAAATTTGTGGATCAATAATCGATGAATTTGAATGTGAACGAGAAAAGGCCAATTTCAATGACATGTAAGTTGCAAATAAACCGATTGTCACAAAAAAAAACATTATAAGTACATTAAAAAATTCAACTGTTCTCAAGAATCGAATTCGAAAGCTTTTGATGTCAGTTGCTGAATGACAAGACGTTTTAACAACAACTACTGATGTGCTATTATCTATATAAGATAAAAAACGCTACAACGTATGAAACCATTTATTAGTTGAATATCAACAGTGACGACCGTTCGAGTTTGCATGAAGCACTATTGTTATTTTCAGAGTTGAATGGCCGTGACCATTTTTTTGAATAACTTTTGATCAACTAAGTCTATCGAGCTCGGGGTTGTGTAGTTAGAAAGAGCCTACTCCGAAACATTTTTCTGTATAATTCATTTGAGCCCACAGCTATTTTTTAATGGCTATTTAAACTTCGATATATTCTTTTTATCTTTTTCCAACGAATTTTTCCAATATCCTAACTCCCAGTTTGCCAAATTGTAGCTGAAATTTAGCTACATATACGGTAAAATTATCATACATCAAAGTGGTCTTGTTGAAGAAAAGAAATCAAAAAGACAAGACGAAGATGTCAAAACTTAGCCATATATCCAGCAGAATTCTGGCGACAATTTGGTGTAATAGGAGTTAGGATGTGAAAAAATTCGTTGAAACTAGACTAAAACAACAGATCGATGAATAAGCAGTCAATAAAACAGTGGGTGGAGACTCCAATGAATTATACAGAAAGATGCCTCAGAGTTTACTCTTTCCAACTACGCAACCCCGAGCTCGGTAGCCCTCGTCGATCAAAAGTTATTCAACAAATGGTCACCGTCATTGAAGGCCCCCACCCCTCCGATTTCTGGGTTAAGTAAATTCAAATCGCATGAAAATTTTAGGGTACGATGGAACTGAAGTTGAGAGGCTGTGGTAAAATTTTCAGCCCTGTAGCATGACATTTGACAGAGATATGAACCAAACAAGGGTAAAAAATAGCTCATTTTCTGTCCAAGATTTCTCGGTCCAGGCTTTGTCAATATATTTAAATTTGTTTTTGTTTGAAAGAGCATGTCAGGATGCAGGGCACCACAGAGGCCGTTTTTTTTAAATTCTTACTTTTTTAGCGGAAAAAGAGGATCACAAGTTGAATGACTCAAAAAAAGCGTCAAAAATGGGTGTCTAGTTACATAAATGTCTGTATATATAATATAAAAAAAAGCTTAATTAAAAAAGGACTCTGTGGTGCCCTGCATCTCGACGCGCTCTTTCAAACAAAAGGAAAATTTAAACATGTTGCACGAGTCTGGATCGAGAAATCTTGGACAGAAGATCAAAAACTGGCAAACTGACGAGGGAACATTTCCAAGTGATTCGCTCTGTTTTGCTTCATTCATACCTCATTCGATAGAATATATTAAAATAAGAAAAAGTCTAAAAGGATTCGTGCCCATGGCCTAGTAATGAAGAGTTATGACCATTTTACTGAAATTTTTACTGTGAGCCAGGCATTTCGAAAAAACC